TTTACTAGACGATGGATAATATCCAAGGAAATTTGTATTCAATTTACTAAGAGCATTACTTACTCCTTAGTGATACAAGTGCTATCAAATACAACGCACTTTCTTCATTTTGTAAGTAGAGAGACGAGTGTGACTATTATGATATCTGTTCGTCTGTCTATTACTGCTCCGTTACTAGCAAATAGCGTTGTGCCTTAACATTTTGTGTGATGAAGGCAATCGGAAATGGTACTCTTCTGCGGAATCTAAAACATGGCATGTGAGCGAAATCTTATTTATAATTTTGACATATCGTAGATCCTGATTCTTTGCGAATTTATATATTTATTGATCTTTATACTTATTGCTGTGCAGATTTAAATTTGCTGATTCAGACAGACACCCGTCATTGCAAAGTTAGTCACGCCAGATAAATCACCGTCTGAGATGTTACTTTGTGTCCTGATTGGAAAGAAGGGCTTAAGTGAGTTGAAATTATATCTGACTTAGGTCATTCTGACGGAGCAGGAATTATGTTACCAGAACATATGCGCGTTCAAGGACTGAAATAAATAGAGATTTCTCTGGCAAACACGACACAATTTAAAGTATCCTCAGAAAAAGGGGGAAAAAAACTGGGAATAAATCACATTCTAGCTCTTGAATCCGCACAAAGAACTGGGGTAACAAAGTAAAAAGTGATGTGCCAAATGGAAAGTTAATTTATTTTGTTATCATGGACGGTACTAAAAAATGTAACAAAGCGTAAAGTTAATTTCTTTCACGAACCGACTGTACACAAATGGCGCGTATTGTATATTTAGAAGAAATAGCAGGAGTTTGTCTGTGAATGTGTTGGTGTGTGGGCGAATACGTTCTTGATGTGTGCTTAAAATTTGTTGACTGGGATCTGATTGGGTCCTTCTATGAAGTCAACTTTCTCTCATTGGCCCAGGTCTATTTTTAGATGACGAATCATGAGATTTTCTAGTGCGACGCCATCATGACTTGTGACGTCACTATAGCATCACTCCGTATGGGGCCCAAGTCTATTAAACCTTCATGCGCTGGGACGCATATTTCTATATGCGGGTACTAAATCTGATGGATTTTCTGTCTTCACTTCACTTGGTGCTTACAGTTTGAACCTCATAAATATGTGTTCGGTAACCTGTGGTCCGCAATTTGTTTTTTTTAGATATATTCGTGTGCTCCAGGGGTCGGAGGAATATGGTTTATTCGAAGACTTGGTTTCCCTACCTTACCATTTGTAGCTTCTTTGTTTCGGAGGCATTATCGGTTAATCTTTGTTTTGTTTAAGACTTCCTGTTACTTGTGGATTCTGAATTGGCCTGGATGTGGTAGAGAATGTAAAATATCCTCTGCTCTTGGCGGGACTCAAATCCCAGTTGTCAGCTACGTAGGATAGTCTGTCCAGGTTATTAATAAAACGAAACTTGAGAATGTTCGAAGCTGGAAACTCACGTGTGATTGGAAATATCGACCGAAGCAAGTGTAGGAGGATTCCGTCTAGCATTAGCTCCGAACTACTTGTTCTTCACGTATATTGGGTATTAGATAGAAGCCGATAAAACTTGTTCGTAATGTGTCTCTTCGCATGAAGAGGACGACGCTAGGAATTAACGGGTGAAACCGCAGACAAGGGCGGCAGAGAATGTTACCAAAACTGCAAGAGACAGCTGCTACAGTCTCCCAGCCTGCCACCTCTGTATACTCACGTGACACGCAAATTAGAGCGATCCGTATTATACCAAAATTTAAAATGGACTTCTTGGTTTGTTACATGTTTATTTCACAACATTCTAATCCTGCTCTGTCATATATATTGCCTGAAAAGTACAGAAGCCTTGTGGCAACTTGGTCCTCACATCGCAGATGTAGTGGCCTGTCCCCACACGTGGAGTGTGGAGTTACTGCGAGTAGGTTATATTGAATAACCAGCCGCGGACAGCTGACAACGGATGACCCTCCAGCTTGGAAGTTAGGAGTGTGAGGAGGGGGGGGGGCTAGAATATATTTCCTGTAAAAATTAACCTTTTAAAAATCGTTAGTCAGGGCCTAAGCTTTGTGAACTTGCTAATAAATATTATGTCTGCATAAAAATTGGGGAATTTATTGACTAGCTGAGTAACTATCAGCTTCTCATTGAGGTTTCTGCGTCATTGAGTATGTGAGTTTGTTGCCAGCGAGTTTATCTTTCCAACTGTTTTCTCTTACGTTAGCGGTAGAGTATAAATGCAAAATATTTTATAATAAATACCATTTAAATTCGTACAGATACATACTATCGAAAAATTAATCCGATTGAATGTTTTATTTTGTACGGTCATTGATTGTTAAGTGAAGGGCAAACGGAACGGAAAATGTCATCAGTTTTGTGACTAGGCTATACCCTGGACGATTGGGTTCGAATCCCGACTGGAAAAAGTATTTATTTTTATTATTCTTCTGCTCCGAGTTCAGACCGACTGGAGCTTCAATTAATGGCCTATTTAAATGGTACCGGTGGCTTTCATCGGGAGCAAAGCGGCCGCCCAGTGCAGAGGTTAAGAAATATATGGAGGTAAACTTATATTACCCCATATCCCTTTGCGCCGTGTGCTTAGTTAAGCAAGCATAAGCTTACCTTAATAATAATTTCGAATGGCGCATTCATTTTTGTTAGTCATCTCGTCTTGTCATAGTTATCAAGCCCTGTCGATATACTGGCCTCTCATATGTAGACATAAGTCTAGGAATGTTTCAGAACATAAAGAATATACATGGATGTGCTCTTAACGTACATTAGAAAATATTCACTTCAAATCTGAAAAAAAGTATTTAAATTTTGAGGCA